CCCCCCCCCCCTCTCTCTGCTCCCCTCTCTGGTCCCCTTTCTCTACCTTCCTCCCTTCCCCCATCTCTCCCCCTCCTTAACCCTGACCCCCTATACCTCCCACCACCTCCCACCATCACCCCACCTCCGGCCCTGCCTATCTGCCCTCTTCACAGCGGGGCTCTGATGTAATCAGCTTTCAAGTGCTACCGGCCCAATCCCTCAATCCCCTCAATAAAAGAATAAAGGAAAAACTGGAAAATACCAGAGGATTTTATGGTCCACACTTAGCGGGATGCACAGATAATTACCAACCCCTCTCAACCCCCAAGCTAACAGGGCAATGAAGGATCAAGCATATGGAAAACATGCCAAAAAATGTAACAGCAGTAACTGGCTATGTTGTTGTTTTTACATCTTAAAGGATAGAGGAGACTATTATTTAACCAATAAGAACCACATTTTATTTGACAACAGAGCTTTAAAAAAAAAAAAATCGCACTTGGGCATGGCATAAATCAATCGTACCTCATAGAGTGCTGCTGGGATGATGTATTTTTGTAGGCCGACCCCGGTAGTGAACATCGCACTGGTTCCCTCCATAAAAAACTGCCAATGGGATTTTTCCATTGGATTTTGGATTATTGCAGAAAACAAACTCTGTGGCAAATACAAGTTCATGACACTTACACAGTTTGTCCAGCAAGATAATCTTCACAAATGAAATGAACTATTATGATTTTTGAAGCGTGAGTACAATCACCAGAAGTAAAAAAGCTAACGTCATATGAAAACACTCTGACAGAGACAAGACAGGCCGTGCTAGAGGTTCAGCGAGACTCTATTTAGGCACAGCAGTGCTTTGATTTAATCCTAACGCAAGCATGCTAACGTGCTCGCCAAATCTTAAACACAAAACTGACTATACTTCATATACTGAATCAGCATCGTCACTGAACCAACTAAGCGACTTTTGAAAGTCATGGCACCTCCTTCCCTTTCTCGAAGCACAACAGATGAAGGCCATGCTTTCTAGGAAAGTGCACCCGTGCCCTGCAGTACAGATGAGGCTGACTGTAATGTTATACTGTATATGCAGGTATTTTGTCATAAAACAAAGGAATTCAACATTTCACCTGGTGATGGTACTAGACCTTGAATGACTTTACAGGACGTCGTGGTAATCCATCCGCCAGTTGTCCACTCGACATTTCAGTCTGGACCAAAGTGGCGGACCAACCGATTGACCAACAATGCCATCGCTAGAGCCATGCCGCTAACGTGGCAACCAAAGACAAGACATTGTCTGCATGTCCTGAGTTAGGTCAACTCAGGTTTCTCCTATATTTTATGGCGATGTGCTCTAAAGGCATCACAAGTGATAAACCTGAGCTCACTATGATACGCTGCATCAAGGGGTTTAAGGCTACTCAGGGATGCATGCATACAAAATACATCTGCTAATACAACATAGATGCACATGACCGTACCAGTTTGAAAAGCCTGGTTGCAGCAGTTTTTTCATTGAAAAAACAAAACAATTTCATCATACATTTTTTATACCCGTTGTTCAGCCTTAGCCTGTGGTTCATGACAGTGTGAATCCCATTCGTGTTAAGATTCTTTTGAGTGCGTTTTGCTTTAATATGATAGCTACAGACTGGAGGATGGAGAAAGGGGATGACATTGCGACAAAGATGTCATGGTTACTGAGCTACCGGGACGCTTTAATCACATCTTATTCACACCCGATAAACTAGGTATCATGGGGTCTTACAACTGGTGAATTATCACTGATCTTGAGTGCATTTGAAGCATACATTTCTGCCCCTCTACTCCGCACCTATGCCTGGGGGCCCATCACTTTCATTCTGTCTCATCCCGACTCAATGTCATGCTTTGTCTACCTATTCCATGTGTCCATTTCACACTAATTCAACCCAAAAATGATCCTCTGACAGGGCTCAGCTGGGACCTCGCAGACACTATCTGATAGATGAGAGGAGAGGGGACAGAGGAAGGAGAGAAGGACAGAGGAAGAGAAAGAAACAGAGAATGGGGGGAAAAAGAGATTAGATACGCTGAAATCCAAGCCAGCAATCTGAGGATATCAATTGCAGCATTGATGACCACCTTTGACACAGCAGTTGGTCAAGCATACGAAATAAGGTGTTGTCATCACAGCCACGACCACCGATAAACTATGCACGGTGCGCTTCTAATCAGTACGCTTGCTGGTGCATCTACAAAAACACACTCACAAAAGCACACATCAGCAGTGCCACATTTTGGAACAGACCCCAGATCCAGCTCCACTTTCTGGCGTTGTCCTACCTGCAGGCTGCAAGTGGAGCAGGCCTCACTAATCCATCAGCGATAGCTGGCTCTGACATCTATTATTAATGGTAAGCTGCTGCCACTATCCCCCTGTCCCTTATTTTCGTCATTCTCCCAATCCTTCATCCTGCGCAACTGCATTTTCTGTTGTTGTTTTTCCGTCCACTCATTTTTTTTCTCCGTGAATGCGTGTGTGCATCACGTGTGCATGCTTGTATTTATGTGCATGTGTGTTAATGAAAAGTGTGTCTCATTGGACTATCATCTCTTTTTTACTTTCAGCGTACAGCGAACCACAGGGAGATAATGAGAGACATGATGGCAGCTCTACATGACACTAAAACACACCCACACACACACACACACCCACACACACACATTACACCGCAGGCAATAAAGATAAAGAACAACTCAGGGAAAGACTGAATTTTCTGCATTCCATTGCTGTCCTTTCACAATTTTCTATCTGAATGCAGCTGTACCTCATAACAGGTGACCCTCTTTTATTACTAACCCATTTACTGCTTTCGTACTCGCTTTAAAATAGATAGCCAATGTGACTCCTCTGCGCTAAATGGAGCAGAAACAATGGCGCTAATATATGTGTAAAGACACAGGTGACATAAGGTAGGATAAAGAGCCCACCTGTCTCCACACATTCTCCTATTGTCCTCAAATCCTTTGAGAGTTGTATCCTCGATTCTCTGCTTTCCATTTTCTCTGCATCTCCTCAATCATCATGGTAGAAGGTAACAAGGTATTTTTACCCGAGTAATGAAGGATTTGAAGGAACAAGCATGGAAGGATCTTCCAAATTTGTGCTCTGTCCCTATTTTAGTCCAACTTAACAATGTAACCTTTCACCTAATACACTGTAGGTCTTTTGTCTTTGATAGTTAGTTTGCTAGATTTTCCGCAGCACATCAGCACTGACTGACGTGCTGGGGGTAACTGGGTTAGATTAGAGGGTTAGAGTGGGACTCACAGGGGCAGAAGCTTTGGCCCCAGGTGAGAGGCAGCTTGGGTTTCTGAAAGCAGAGCCCCCCCCCCTCCGCCTTCCAGGAACAGGGGCCAACTTCATCAATAATTCAACACACCTCAACTCACCACTCGCCGCAGCAGGATGGTACGGTTGTGTGCAGGGGTGAGTGTGTGAGGAAGATAAAGCTTTTGTTTGTGCAGAACAAGTGTAGGAAGAGAGAGTGAGAAAGGAAGAGATAGACAGTAACAGAAAAATGTGAGCATGCTGCAAGTATTTCTGTCCGTGCATACGTTCGTACATGAAGCTGCTCTATATACTGAATGTGTGTGTGTTATACTGCACCACATCTTTTCCTTCCCTTCAACCAATCAGTTTACAGTGCTCCCAGTCGTTTGGTTTCTGCCCGAAGCTCCCACTGCTACCCAGGAACAATGAGCGGGGAGAGATTCAGTTACTGCACCCAGGACTGAAGTAATTCGACCCTGCAGACAAGAATCTGCAGCCAGTGGATGGGTGTCATGACCGAGTATGCTGACAAGCACGGTTGGTGTATGCTAATCCACCCCAAATCCAGCTTCAAATCAGACCAGCAAACCATTTAGAATATCAGCAACTGAACACTTGTCCAAGTCCGTCTAGTGCAGCTCCTGTTAGATGAAACCCGATCGTCACAATTACAGTTTTTCTAGTATTTGCACTGATCAAAGAAATTCAAACCTTGTTTTTGTGGGAAAAAAAAACCCCATCAACTTTGAAGCCAATGTGGAGCCGGTGTAATCCATCAGTATAGTAGTGTGGTGTTGGGCCTGCATGCTGATCAAATAACGCACTCCAACAGCCCTGTCACCAGACTGAAGAGTAAATACATAATACAGTATCAACAGAGCAGCACTGTACAGCATATAGGTTACAAGCAGCTGTTTCAGTAAGCCCAAAAGGGAAAAGCGTAGAGCGTTAACACCATTACCCAACAAAGCCAGGAGGTACATTTGAGACGGAATGAAAGGGGATTTTCGAAAAAGATTACCATTCATGACAGATTATTTGGCAAAACTTTTTCTATTATAATTGCTGCATTCAATAACGAGTATTCACCGTTTTAGGAATACGACACCTTCTCTGAAAAAACTCGTTGCAAGCTGTTGTTGTGAAATCTATTTCTGTATTCATTCCCAATTCATTCCCAATTCCCAATATTCATTCCTGTCACGAGTGTAAGACTCAATACTGACAGTGGACTAACCTAAATCAATTGCAGCCCTAAAACGAATGACGTATTTGTCTCAGGTCTCCCAGATGAGGCTGATAGTCTCCCATATCAGCCTCATCTATTTTGTTTTCCTGGAAAGATGCCACTGTCCAATGTGATGTCGATGCATGTTGATGTGCAGACTACACTACCCATAATTACCACGCATCCCTTATCAGTTGTCAATCATTAGAGAGTGGCCTATTTCCTTAACCATGCCCACAAGTTACTTCCTGTGAATTGTAAGCTCAGTTTCCTGGGGGCGTATCAGTGCACAGTATGCATTGTGTACAGGTTAATAGGAGTAACTGAAGTAGCTGTAGTATTTGTTGCAAATTGCTTCGTTATGTATGTGAGCAGGTCACTGTGTGTCAGCTAAAGGCTCATGTGACCAACACCAGGGGCACATAAGGTCAGCCTTTGGCCACTTAATCAGACATTTGGGATCCTGTGAAAGGATTTAGGAAACCTAGGAAGCTGCAAGAGTTGCGGCTTGTAAATGCATGCAAGGCCTCGAGGCAAAAATCTCATACTGATGCGTGTCTGTGTTTTCCTTACCTTGTCTTATGGAGACATATCGCCTGTTGGCGGCCATCAGAACCACTTGTGGGTGGCTCTCCTCAAGGTCAAACAGTTCATCTTTGCCCGGCTTGGAGCACCGTCCAGACCTCAGGGTGCCAGTAGGCCCCACAGGAGACAAATACTTCCCCTCACTGTCTTTAAAGGCCAGCTTCCCGCACTTCAGCTCCAGCGTGTACGCCGTGGCCCTGCCTATCTGCATCAAGAGCTTCCCATCATTGCTGAGGAAGCGACTGTCGCAGGTCTTAAGGCAGTACTTCCCATCCAGGTAGACAAGTGTCAGGAGCGCTGCCACGCCCCAGGGAATGTTCATATCCACGGCAATTTCCCCGTCCTCCGCGGAGAGGCGGGCGTAACGCTTGCGGGCCACAGACAGCAGGTTGGCCTGCGGATGCAGAGCCAGGTGCACAGCCCACAGCTCGGCATCTGTGATTACCTGGGCAAAGCAGGACAGGTAGTCCTGGGAGCCACCAAAGAAGCGGAGGTGCTGCTCCGACTGCAGGGCCCAACGACCATCTGATTGAGCCACGATGAGAAAGCGGCAGTCAGAATTTTGTCCGTCAGCCTCACCAGTGACTTTGCCGTCCTTGTCAGAGGCCAGGTAGCGTCCCAAGTGGCTACGAAAGTAGACCACCTGGGTGTCCTGAGAGTCCTGATCTAGAGTCCATATCTGCTTCTTCTTCAGGCTCGGTGCTGACGCGTTCACCTGAGAGAGAAGCAAATGATCCAACATAGGAGCATGAAGGCCTTTAATCCTTAGTCTTATGTTCTCTGTATAACAAGTTCATGCCTAAACACAAAAGAAAGACTTGCACAGACACCAAAAATCATGTTAAAACTCTTCTATTGTTTGTACCTTGAAGCCAAAGGCCTCAGCAGTGAGGTAGCGACCCTCATGGTTGATTAGACCAAACTGCAACTTCAAGGGACGGTTTCCATTAGCAGGCATTTTCACCTGTGGATTCAGGAAAAAGGAGAACAAGAGGTGAGTCAAGTTAGGGATGTGAGAAAGAGTGGGAAAGGAGAAACAGGATAGGCCAAAAGACCTGACATGGGATGCAGAAGTGAGCATTATGCCTTAAAGAAGGGCGGTGTAAAGAGTTGTTTAAAGAGGTGAGGAATAAGGAAGGGGATGAGTCATGGAGAATGATGAAATGAGAACGTCTTAAAGACAGGAAATCAATTCATTAAGGTACAGTATAAAAAGCACTCCATAGACCACAAATTCCTTCCCCCGCCCATGGCTTCATTATACATTTTTCCTGCTACAGCCTCCTAATTTACTTACTGTGGTTTTGTGGCTTCCCCTCTGCAGTTTCTGTGGCTCTAATTCCAGCTCCCAGATTTAAGAGGCTTCTTTTGCCAAGCGTCCTCTTGTAATTCTTCCTCTCTCCTCTCCTCCTCTCACTGGCTCTCACGTCCTGTTGATCTGGTCTCCCCTCCACCACCAACTCTCCTCACCCTAATCAGGCAGCAAAGACTTGAGTCAAGCTTGATCTCTCTTTAGTCAACCTCTCTTTCTCTGTAGCCTAAATTTGTTCTGGACTGCTTGCCTCCAATTCTACAGCTGACCCCCTCTCTCTCTCTCTCTCTCCCTTGTTGAACAGTGCTCTCTCGTCCAGCCTCACTCTTGCTTGACTTGTTATTCACCCTGAAGGCTCAATCACCTTGTCCCACCTGACTAGCCTTCCCTTGGGTTTTGATTTTGCCCCTCCTTTGGTTCCTTTTGCTGACTATCTTTGGATCAGGTCGAATACACTGACCTTCTTCTTCACCCTTCCTTGAAGTCCAGGTTCCTCGTTTGTCAGACAAAAGTTTGATCAATGAAGAAGAACATCCTCGGCGGTCCTGCTAATTTTATAGTAGTGCATTGAAGGACTCCTTCACTCTTCCCCCTAAACATAAGCCGTCCATCACAGCTGAACTCAGCAACAAAGGGTGCTCGCCTCTGTAGTCTTAAGCCTCTCTCTGTCGCTCTTTCCTGCCATCCTCTCCTTCTCTCTCTCTGCCTTTCTCTAACCCGCCATGTGTATAATCCTGCCTTTCTCTGCGCTTTATTCTGAGCTCTGCACTTCGCCTCTTTCTGTGACACATAAAGACAGGTAAGTAGAAACAATGCACGCACACACACGAACACATGCACACACAGCACTGGGTAACCAGAGCAAACCCCGTGCCTCTGGGGTAGTATTCTGAGTGCGGCTCCCCTTACTTGCCTATGCTGGGGGTTAAGTTACACACCTTCTCTGATTGCAAGCTCTCTGGGTCAGTCCTAATGGGAAATGTGTCTGAGACATGTGTCGGAGACAAGCAAAGGGAAAGAAGATGGTGGATTTTGTAAAGGAAACAATAATAAGCTAATCAACATATGGGATTTTAAATGACTGTGTGTGTGCAGCAAGTGCATGTGTGTGTGTGTGTGTGTGTGTGTGTGTGTGTGTGTGTGTGTGTG